CCAACGAAGGGAAGGATTTCTAAAGCCTTACGGCAGAGTGGACAACCCAAGGTTTAACTCTCAGAAATGAATCACAGATGGTGGAAATTAGGCTCAAGGATACTTAGATGGGGTAGAAGACCTTCCTGGTCTAGAAGCCCAGTGTTCTTCCCTAAACAATTCTCTTCCATGTGCTGGCCTGTTCTGCCAGAAATGCATGGACTATGGTAACATTTCCAGTCCCCAAGCCCTTTGGCTCCCCTCCCTTCCTTCCTATCTCCATGGCAGTTATTTAAAAACCAGACATTTTAATACACATCTTATTGATATAATCAAGAATACAACCACGATAATTAGATCCACTCTGCTATTAATCCCCCAATGACCAAATCCAGGGTGTGTTACGGTAACTACATTTTGTCTGTTCAGGCTAATGCTCTGGAAACTACTCCAAACAAAGGGGTATTCATTTACTCAAACTTTAATCAAATAATTGTAGGCAAATTAGCCATTTTTAAATCGGACAAAACACGTCTTTTACCGAGCTTATCTTTTAAAACAAGACAAAACAAATAAACAAAAAAACCCATTGGTACTTTTGATCATGTTTTAAAAACGTAACCCTGCATTTCAACTGTTTTTCACTGTTCACTAATGAAATCAATGCAAATAACCTTTATATTAGTTAAAAGAAAAAATGTGAAAAATTCATTTTCCAAAAATATATTTGCTTAGAAATTCTTTTCACCTTATGAACTTCCTTGGCCTTATAAACCTGTCAGCAGAGCAAACTAGGAGCCAGTTTCCTGCAGCCATAAACCCCACCACCCTTTTTATGAGTCTTTATTCTTCGGAAATGTAAACTCTTGTGCTGAAAAGCATTCACTGGGAAGATAAATGAGTAGTAAAATGATTAGTGCCCATTTAATGGTTTCTTACCTCTGGGCTGGTTTACAGCTGAGAGCCGGACGGATGGGCTTTGAAAGCTGACTTCCTCTCCGCACCTGGGTAGATGGAGTCTTCTGGGGCCTTGCCTGGGCCTGCTGACCCCAGGGCCTCTGCACAGCTGCTCCTGGCAGGACTCTTAGTCTTTGGGGTGTCTCCTTGGAGCGCACCTTCTAACCACAAATTATCTTGAAACCTGTCACTGCCATCTTCCGGTCACAGCACCAGGCCGGGAGAAGGGAAATGATATCCCGAAGAGATTCTTCACACCCCTTGGGAGCTGAGACTGTGTCCTCCTGCGACATCACTTGCTTCTCCTTCTGAGGGAGGGGCGGGCCCTTCCGCCTCCTGGCGCCTCGCCTCAGGCCACGCCCACCTAGATCCTAATCATTTCAGTTCAGGCTCACCTGCGGGTCTCTCCTCCGCCACCCCCTCCCCCACACCCCCAATCCCCAACGCTCTCTTTCTGTGGCTCTTCTCTTATTTTTGTGAAGCTACATTTCCTGCCATTCGACACCCCGCAATCCCCATGTCTCCCTTTCTGGGGCTCTGCCCTTCTCATGTGAAGCTACATTTCCATCCGCTTCCAAGACCTCCACCGGGCTTTCAGGCTCTGGGCAAGCTTCCGTCACCCAGCTGACCTTGAGCTGCTCCTGGATTCCCTGAGCAGCCATGCCCAGGGGCTGCAAAGTTAGGATCGCTCACAGCTCTGCCAATTAACAGCTGATGGGCTTCCGAGCCTGCAGTCTTCCCTGGAGAAAAGTTTAAAGATGGCAAATGGATGGGCTTACATTTGAAGGAAGAGAGGGCTTCCCCAAGACAGTAGGTACCATATGCATGCTCATTACTGAGAATGAGCTCTTGCCAAATATTCAAAATCCGTATTAAAATTAATTGGCCTCAGCTTATATATGTCAAGCGACGCGCGTAAAACAGAGCGTGGTACCGAGAGCTGGTGCAGACTGCGGTAATGGTTGAACACACCGTTCTCAGGAATGACGGCACCAGGATATTCTTAGGAGGGACCCACTCTGAAATCACCGATTTTTATGGTTTTGAGTTCTTCTGCTTGTCCTAACTAGTCCCCTCTTCTCATGCTGTTGAGATAAAAAGGTGGTGTTTTTTCTTAGTGTGCCTGCCCACTGGCTGTGAGCTAGGAAACCAGAAACGAGTTTTAGGAAGTCTTTGAAAATAAGAATAAATTGGCCTTGAGTGGAAGCCTGGACCTTGTGAAATACAGTTTTCAAAGGCAGGGTCTGGCATGGAAGGGCAGGGCTGTGGGGGCATTGGGAGGGGCTGTGCCTTGAAATCCCAGCGCCCAGACACTGCAGACCAATTCTATCAGACTTTGCAGGGGAGAGGCCCTAGCGTGAGTGTTTTTCGAAACTTCCAGATGACTCCCAATGTGCAGCCAAGGTTGAGAAGCCTTCCCTGGTGCCCATACTGTGTGTCACTCTATGTGATGGGATTACCCAACCTGGGAGAGAGGAGATGGGAAAAGCCAGGGAGCTTGCATCCAGGCCATTGCTCCCTGTGTCTCCCCCACTTCAGCTGCAGAAAATTCTTCTTGAGAAAAAAGGTTGACTGGCTTTGACTGTATTAAATTTCCTGAATCATTTTTTATTCTGCTTTTTGGGGAAGAGTGTACATTCTTTATTTGTGTCATGGGGATCTAGTGAAAACTGTAATATTTCTTAGTTCTTTGGAGAATTTTCACAGGATAGATTTAACTCCAGCCCTCTGAAGCTGTTTTCACTTTCACTTAAAAAATGGGTAATAAACCACTTCATAAATGTCAAGTACCATGCAATGGTGGGGACACAATGGTGGGTTGAGGGGTCCTGCAGACAACTCCCATGTTTGAATATCTGCCATAAGGACTCACAGGAGTTGTCAAATAGTTGGATTCACAGCTTAGATTTCTTACAGTGGTGTACTAAGGGTACACAGCCAGAGCACAAGGGACAGAGACACTGGTGGAGTTGGGAGCAATCATGTACCGTCTCCTTAAGCTCTCTCTCCCTCCCTCTCCTTCCCGTGAGGGGTCACAGAGTGTAGCTAAATCTTTGCACACATTCCTGATTGTCTCCTATATTTCTGACAGTAGGTATAGCTGATGCAAAGAGACTACAGCATTTTAAGGCTTTTGATATTTTTTTTTCCCAACTTGGCCTCCAGAAGTTGCCCTTTTTTATATCCTTCCTAGCAGTGGCTCATTTCCCACATCCTCTCTGGCTCTAAGCAGGACTGTTTTCTAGAAGTCCTTGACCATCTGACAAGGAAGGAATATTTCATTTTATTGAGATATCAGTGACCCACGTGTTGAGGGTGAAACATGTAAGTCCGGTTCAGCTCTATGGAAACTAGAGACACAGGCCATATGGTCTCTGCCTTCCAGGCTGCTCACAGGCCAGGTGGGGAAGAGCCTTATGCTGTGGTAGCAGGCATGCAGAGGAATGGGCTTTTTTGAAAGGACTGGGGTCTTATTGCTATTGATCTACTTTTAGTTTTCCTATGAAGTATTTCTGAAGGAAATACTTCAATAGAATACTTCAATAGAATCATATATCATATAACATATATAAATATATACCAATTTAATAAAACAATATAGGTAAAACAATAAGGAAGTTTATGGAAAGTGGGGGGCTGCCAGCTAGAAAAAGGATAGAAACTGAACTTTGGAAATTGGATGTCTAAGAAAAAAAGCAGATTCAGGGCCAAGGAAACAGTACCTAGAGGGGCCTGGGCAAAGGTAGGGGTAGGGCTCATTTTTGCCTATGCTTATCTTTTTAACTTTTGGGGGGAACTATATCATGAATTACTGTGTAAAGATTTAAAGAGTCATGAATTTTTTATAATTTAGGTGTGTTGAATTTAAAGTGTTAGTAGTTCTTTAAAGTTCAGAGGCCAATGGAGTATGAGGTTGGGGCACAGGTAAGAGAGTGGGGCTTCCTGTGACAACTCAGCTGTCACCAGTATTCGGTGACTTTGGTCACTAAGGAGTGGGTTACATTTGAGGCAGTAAGTGAGTGAGCAAGTGTGTGTGTGTGTGTGTGTGTGTGTGTGTGCAGAGGTGGGGAGTGGGGAGGGAGGGAGAGAGAGAGAGAGAGAGAGAGAGAGAGAGAGAGAAAGGAAGCAATAGGCCAAAGACACAATTGGACAGTGGAGCCAGTGGAAGACACAGAACTGTTCCGACAAGGCTTTCTGAAGTTGGGGCAGCCTTATACCTGTGGGAACATGGTGCCCACACAGAGGTTTCCCAGAAGTGTCTTTCTGGAGGAGAAAGAGATAAGGGACAGCCAACATGTGGCTGGTTCTCCTGCCCTGAAATGAGGTCCTGAGAGGCAAACCGATTTGCACAAGGAGGCACAACACACTAAATCTCTAGCGTGGGCAGTTGCTTTGGGCCAAAATATACACCGGCCTCCAATGACTGGCCTTGGGATGATGCAAGGAGAGGACAGAAAAGGCTAGATTTAACTCCACAACTGTATGTTGCACTCGGTGTCAGACTCTTGGTTCTTACCCAAGTGGCCTGGAGTCCAAACAGGTGATTTCTGCTTAGCGCTCCCTCTTGGAAGCCTGTCATACACCTGATTTCCAAAGCAGGCTCTCAGAGTTGTGTTTTTGAAGAGGAGGGTTCACATATCAACTACAGAGCATCAACTACAGAAATATTGAAAGGTCTTCAATGTTAAAGCAAATTTCTCTGTGTGAAAGGAGGTGTGGAAAAGACGACAGAGCAGTTTCCAGAATGAGGCTCTATTTACCTCCTGGAATTAGAGAACCAGAACAAAGTCGTTTCTGGAAGAAGAGGTTTGGGTCCTGAGCGAATGCAGGAAGATGACTGAGTGGGTTCTACCCTACTCCTCTTGTGTGTCATGTGGATGTGCCAGCTCAAATCTCTGGGTATTTTTGCACAAATCTCTTTACTACTGTCCCCTCTCCCCACCAATGTATACACTGTGCATCAGAATTCCCCACTAACTTACTTTTTGGTCTCTACTTTCAACTTTCCCATGTCTTATGCCCTTACTTAAAAAAAAAAAATAACACACATACTAGACTTCTTTTAAAAATGAATCAGTGTTTATACCTCCAGCAGATTGTAAAATGTACATGTCCAGGTATCATTTTAAATTAGTAGCTGCCAAACTGATAAGGAGTAAAGAAAAGTCAGGCTTTTTCTTTTTTCTTTTAAGTCAGGGTAGGAAGTTGGCTCGTCAAAGTTTTTACTGTGGAATCAAGTTTTGATAGCACACATACCTACCCCACGCTCATCTAGCCCCAAGAGGGGACACAAGCCAACAGGGTCAGGTTTCAGAAACGACCCCCATTTCACCATGTACCTTCCTCTCCCACTGTTTTGAAATGAGAACCATGATACTATATCATGGGAGACAGGCCAGGGCCGAGGGGTGACATGGCTTGGGTTCTCACACTCTGGGCATTCTGGGGGTGCATTCAAGTTCCATGACAGAGTGGCCTCAAGGACAAAAGGCCATTCATTACCCACATGCACTAGTGGTGTTAATCAAAGAAGTAAATCTTTACTGGTTAGTTCCTTAAAGTACACCTTTTGGCATAAGCAGAATTTCTAGAAAGTGCAGAAGAAAAAATCTTAGCCCCTTGAGAGTGTCTTAAGTTACAGAAGAAGCAGCCCGGCTTTGTGTTGGACCTGCTGTCACTCTGTCACTTGCCCCTTTTCTGTCTTTGTGCTGCCACCTAGAGAGAAAAGGAAAACATGTTGTATTCTGGCAAGCCGAAGTAGTCACCTTAAATCCCAAGCACTAGCTGCACCTTCTAGAACAAAGAAGCAGGGTGGGCTGTTTTAGTTCTGAGAAATAGCAGCCTTACACTTTTGCTTCTGAGGGAAGACTTCAGGTAAGGGATGGGGTCCCCGTCCTGGCCAGCCTCCCTTCCTGAGCTCATTCTGGGGCTACAGTTAGTCTCCTGTGGGAGCGTGCATGGGTAGGAAGCATATTTTCTTTCCACTGTGCAAAGGGAGTGAAATACAAAATCTTCACATCACCCAGATTTGTGGAATGAACACCATCATTTCAGAAGAAAACCAAAGATATAAGAAACATATGAAAACAAGGTTCTAAGTTGAGTAATTCTTAAACCCTCTTTCTACTCACTTCCTTTTTCTTTCATTTTGAAAGACAGATGCTTTTTTTTCCCTCTAAAAAGTAGGCCAATGTATAAAAAATAGATAAATGTAGATTTGCTGGGAGCAGTAGTGCCATTAGTGGCCCCTAATGTTGCTCTAAAGAATACCTTTAATGCGTTTAATGACGACATGCAGCTTTCTGACTGTATACAAGGTCAAACAATTTACTGTGCTGCTATGAAGTTCTCAAAAATATTTTTTTAAGTTGATGGAAATCATATTTCTATGCCATAATGTGGAGGAGTTGAGGTCAGACCTTCCCTAACCAGCTGCCTCTGCAGGACCCTGTCACCCTCTGCCCAGCCTCTTCCATAGACCGCCCCCTCACCCCACTCCTAGAGCAGAAACTTCTGACATGCAACTGACAGTTGCATTTCTAGTGCCTAGAATATTTGGCATGTAGTAGGTGCTCAGTATAAAGTCTTAAAGGGATACATGAATCTAAGCTTATCCCTGGGCTTTTTTTCTTTAGAAAAGAACAAATCACAAGACTAACTTTACTTGTATACATATTCTGATTAAAACACATGTGTAAGGTTAACAATTCTTTGAACATCTATGAAGTCAGTTCCTCTATAAATCATATTTGGTGATCCCTCCCTCTCAAATAGGCTTGATTAATGTGAGACCATCAAAATAACATTAACAAAAGTTCAGTAAATGTGAAAAGGCTGACAGCTGAATTAAAGATCTGACATGCAAATACACCAGCTGAGTAGCTTTACTTCAATTCTGGCCCATCACTGTCGAGGATAAATTGACCAGCAGAATTCATTTTGAATAGAGCAAGATGATATAGCACAGTAAATCTGATTTTTCCTTCCTTAAAATAAAATTCACAATTAAAAGACTTGTGAGGGAAAAAATGGCCATAAAGCTACACACACAATGGTATGAATAAGAAGCTTAGGTCAGTCAGTAGAAAGGAAAGAATCCTGGACTTGAGGGTAAAAGGGCAGCGGTGGAGCCTGCCACTTTCAGTCCGTGCCACCTACTTTCACCAACGTGGAACGGGGTATACCCCCTTTCCGGTCTACCTCAGGGGTTTGTTGTGAAGATCAGTGTTGCTACTGATAAATGGTTGCTGCAGACACCGTAAAGGACTATTAAATATAAAGTAGGGAACCTCTTTGTCAGTCTAATGACCCTGAAGAGTGTATGAATACCAGCATAGGAAAGGTGTATAAATCTTGTCATTTCTTGCCATTATTCAGATGAGTCAAAGCCAATGGCCATCTTCCAAGGACATTAAGAAAATGCCAGTGCCCTTCCCATCCTGGACCGGGAGCTCTCTGTCTTCCACGAAGAGACTGACTGCATCTAACTCTGGTGCTCTCCAAAGCTTGGATTAATCCTGGAAAGAGGGCCATTTGGGAGGATATATTTGATAACAGGTGTCTAGTCAAGCTAGGTCATCTTTAATAGCAGATGACGTGACTTCCCAGGTGTAACGGAAGTCAGTTCCTCTGGGGAGAGGGAGTTTGGTGTGGAGAGTCTGGGAGTCAGAGGTACTGAGCTGACCTTCTGGTTCAGCTCTTTATTAGCTGTGTGACCTTGGGCTTTCAACTGTAAAATGGGGAAATAATACCAATGGTGCCATACTGTTTCTGGAAGGAGTAATCACATAAATTCATGTGAAAAGTGCTTAAAACCTGCAAAGCACTTGGTCAGCCTTTGTTAGTACTTCCCGATAATTGTGCTCTTCACATTTCTTTTTACTACAAGGTAATGTAATCTATGGAAAATGAAGAAAAGAGGAGAGAGCCTGAGAGCCAGAGTATGGGGAAAATATAAATTGAAGATAAACCAGACATACAAAGAAAAGAATGTTGATAATCTGAGATCCGTTTCAGAAATATGTATGGTTTGACGAAAATGATGGAGGTGTGTGTACATAGCGGTTTTCTAGTTTGAAGAAAGTTTTAGAAACCTACCCCATATCAGCACATTAATCAAAAAGATAAACGATGTAAGTAATAGAAGCAAAGGGCCAAGGGATTTAAGCAAGCCCTTTCGGTTGGCTGTCACTATCCTGGCTGCTATGGTGCCCACCCTATGACTCTAGCTGTTGTGGGGGTTAAAGGACTTACACGTAGAGCAAAGAGCTCAGAACAGTACTACTCCAAGAAGGTGGTAGATTGGTTAATAGTATTGCATTATTGTAAATTTCCTGGACTTGATAATTATACTATGGTTATGTCAGGTGTTAACATTAGAGGAAGCTGGGTGAAACGTATATGGAAACTACTGTTTTTGCAACTTTCCTGTACATCTAAAATTATCTCGAAGTAAAAAATAAAGAAAAAGAAAAAGAAAGAGAAAGAGACCCAGAAGTGACAGCGATGATGCAACCAGTAGACATTTATGGAGTTATTGTAACTATAACAAAATATTTAAAGAAAACACAATGAGAGAAATGGAAAGACTTAAAAAAGAACCAAATAGAGCATCTAGAACTGAAAATTCCCATATTTGAAATAAAAATTCACTAGCTAAGGTTAATGGAAGATGAAACACTACAAGACAAAGTAAACTTGAAAATACAAGGAAATTGTCTAACATGAACATAAAATAAAACAAAATCCAGAAACTCAGTGAAAGGATGGTGGAGTATTATCAAGTGGTCTAACATACATGTAAATGAAGTCCTGGAAGCTGAGGGGGTGAAAAGAAAAAAAGCAGAAAAATATTTAAAGAAACACTGGCCAGAAATTTTCCAAATTTGATGAAAATTACAAACTCAAAGATTCAAGAAGCTCAATATACCCACAAACAAGTTAACACAAAGAAAACCACATCAACACATCATAATCAACTTGCTGAAAACTAGTAATAAAGAAAAAAATCTTAAAAGAAGCCCAGGAGGAAAGGGGACACCCTTTAATATAAAGTAGAAGAAATACAAAAAGTATCACAGATGACTCATTAGACATAACATGAGCCACAAGACAATGATTCTCTGACAGGATCAAAGAAATTACAAAATATTCAGCTAGATTAACTAAGAAAACAAAAAAGATACACATGACCAACAAGGTATGAAAAACGAAATGACTACAGATGCACAGATATAAAAAAGATACTAAAAATATGAGAAATAGTTATGCCAATAAATTTGACAACACAGATGAAACAAATACATTTCTTAAAAGACATAAAATTACTAAAACTGGCATATACACATGCAAAAGAAAATTAGAATAGCTCTATACCTATTACAGAAATTGAATTAGTAATTAAAAACTTCCTTAGAAAGAAAATTCCAGGCCCAAATGGCTTCATTTGTTGAATTCTGTCCAATATAAAAGGAAGAAACAATTACTAATCTCATATAAACTCGGAAAATAGGTGATGAGAGGATATTTCTCAATTCATTTTCTGAGGTCAGTTTTGCTCTGATACCAAAACTAGACAGAATTATTACAAGTAAGGAAAACCACAGACCAACATTCTTCATGAATGGAGATATAAAAACCCTTAACAAAATATTAGGAAGTAAAACACAATACTGTATATGAAAAGAATAATACACTATAGACCATGTAGGGTTTATCCCAGGAATATAATGTTATTTTAACTTTCAAAAATCAATCATTGTACTTTACATATTAAAAGACAATCTGTTCTTAAAGGAAAGCTACATGAGCATCTCAATAAATGAGGAAAAAATATGTGACAAAATTCATATCCATTCCTGATCAAAACTCTTGGTGAACTGGGAATAGGAGAGAAATCTACAAAGACCACACACATTGATGGATAGAAGGAATGAGCACATCCTGTGCCTAGATTTTGGTTTCTAAATATCATTCTCCATGAAAAGGAACCTTGGCTGTTTAGGAGAAAGGCTGATTCACAGCTTGAACAGAAACAGTACAAGCGCCTGGAAGATCTGGCACAGAAGAAGAAACCCACTGGACAAAATACAAAATCTACAATTCCATACTGATATAAGTTCATAAATGAATAAATAAGTAGAGAAAGAAAGCTATTCCTCTTAAAGAAAATGTCAGCTAAATATGAAAGAAATAAGTAAAGACAAAATGAAGGAGTTAGAAAAATCACCAGTCGATTCTAAACCTTGTCGGTGAATGATTGATAAGGAATAGCATACTTACAAGTCCCCGAGTATTTCCCACAAATTGCCTATTAATTACAAAGAAAAAAGTAGTAACTCTACAGTGGATAAACCTGTATCAAAGTGAATGAAAGTGAATGTCACTGGAAGTGGGTCACACTAGGGCTCCTGAGATAGTTCACTGAGAAAGACACATCGTTACCTCTGTGGGTACCCATAAGGTATTGCTTGAATCTAGTCAAGACGAAACGTCAGGCAAACTCAAAGTGCGGAACATTCTGCCAAGTAACTAGCCTGTACTCTTCAGTAATGTCAAGGTCAAGTAAGACAAAGACCAGGTGAGAAATTCTCCAGATTAAAGACTGTAACAATAACAAAAAAGAAGTCTCAGTGCTAAACAGTTTTACCATTTTCTTAAATATGGCCCAATAATAGAGTGTTCCTATGCAAAATTATTCCTTCCAGAACACTGGT